AGAACCACGTGATGAAGACCATAATCTGATGCTCATGCCTCGTATCTTAATTTTGCATTTTTATATTGAAGTATAGAATTAAGACCGGACATGTATCTGCAGAGTTCGACCACCTTTTTCCTTTTTAGGATATGTTGTCGACCCAACGACACTAGCCTTTCTTAATTTTTAATTTGTCTTGTTTTTCTGCTTCATTGCATATCTGTATGTCTACATGTCTGCTTATTTTCCTTGTTTATTTATGTGGTTTGTTTGAGATTCTATGAAAATATAATCTAGGCTCATTAAGAACCTTAAAATCCTTAAAATCATATGTTTTGTACTAAATCCTAATAAAAAATATTCAGGAATTTAAATTTTGCATTTTACTTTCTACCTGGTCTTCGGGCTGGATTTTAAATAGGTTGCATGCATGGCTATCACCCAAGTCATATAATAGGATCTCCACAATACTTAAGTACTGCTCTAGATAACTGCATTCATATTTCCATGCCCCGAGTAGAAGTCCCCGTGCTTCTCTAAACTTACCGGCCAAGCATACTCTTTTCTATATAGGTGCTTTTTTAGCGTGCCTAGAGTGTAAGAAGGCTCCCCAACCAAGACAAGGTGTAAGTTTTTTTGTCAAAGCTTTTCCATCTTTAGTTGTTCCTTCCTCATTCTTTCTTTCCCGAGGCATCTTCGCCACTTTTACGGGTATAAGTCTCATCTCTTGGAGCTCTTGCTTTTAGTCAAGATAGAGTTTTCTTCCTTTGAACTTAGGGCCCCGCAGATGATGATTCACAGATTGCTGACCAGGTATCTCAGGACGTGTTGGGTTGATTATCTTCATGACCGAGTTGACTTAGAGTCTTAGTGTTTGTGTATGACAGGTCCGTGGTACCCCGACCCATCTACCTCTACCTTCTAGGATTACTCTACCTTCATTTTGTTGAGCGCCTTGGAGCCATGTCACTCCTTAACTTCATCGATATCATCTTGATGGTCCGATGCCAATGAGTTGTTGCCCAATTGAGTTACGATGATTTCCCCCCCACCTTTATGAACCGAACGTGCTTTAACGTGTTGGGATATCCCCATCAAGATGATTTAGGTTATTCTGTGGGCTACGTATGTCGATGAGTCATTAGCTATTCAGAAGGTGAGAGACTCGCTCTTTGTCCGATGGCTTAGCGAGAGCTTTGAAGCATATGGACATTCCCACACGGAATAAACTTTATTTGATGACCTATTACCTCATATTCATGATAACATAGTCAAAACCTCTTTTATTCAAAGTATTCTTAGGTATCCCCCAGGATGTAATTAACTAAGTGAGATACGTCTCCTTAGGAGTGCTCTTGATCCCCGAACAGACACCTGCACCCGACTCTCTGGTTACAGGTACTCTACGTTGGTAATCTTTCATAGATATTGATTCATGGTGCCTCCACTCAATCTTGTTTGGGCGAACACGTTTGACCTATCCTTGCGAGGTTTACTGGACGTAAGCTCTCCATGTTTTGCGTTTTCTCTTGTCAATCATTTTCGTCGTATGTCCGTCTTTTCCAGTTTCTCTCTTCTTTGAGTCATTCATATGACCTGGAAGAGAGATTTATTCGGGGAAGGGATGTATACGACTATCGATTCCTTCAAAAATAAAAGAGAGAAAAATGAACACAAACAGAGTACAATACAATTAATGAACCAGAATAGAGAAAATGTAAAGATTGATTTACCTGAACATATTCAGATGGAAAGCACATGTGCTTATATCCAAATAATGATGTGAAAAAAGTGATTAGATTAGGATTAAATGTAACTCACATCTAACCTAAGAACGAACCAAAGGGAAATGTAATCCGAGTGAAAGTTATACTCTACCCGAAAAAGATTAACTTGAAGTTTAATATGAAAATTTTTTAAATATTTTTATTCAATGTGTTTCAATTTCAGTTTAATTTAAAGTTTGAGACCTAATGTCAATTCCAAGAGTTTCACAACTCACATTTAAAAGAAATTATTTTTGCATCATCTAAATATTATCCTGTTAAAAAATAAAATGCATATAACATCCTTGCATTCATTTACTAAAAAAACTTATTTCTTAAGTAAAAAACAAAAATTATAAAAAATTTTCATAACATAATATTCAAAGTAAACTGAATATAATAACAAACTCCCACATTTGACTAACAACAAATTAAAGTATATATGTAGATACATTGGAACATGATAATAGCTGCACTGATTTTTTAAATCTTGTGTTAGCATCTACCTTATCATTGTTGTCATAAGCTCTTTTAGCTCATTGATTTTTTGAGTCATAACTACCTAGTATAGTCCATATTACCAATTAACTCTTCTTCGGGTGGTTATGTTCCTCGTATATCTCTTTTTCTCATTTTTGACATGATCCACACTCACCCTATCTTTTAAGAGGTTGAAACTTGATATGTTTGTGGATTTACACCTCAAGGGAAGAGTTACGAAGGAGGAAGAGAGATCTAGAAAAGAAGGGGAAGATAGTATCGCTCTAAGAAGAGTAATAATGTCTATTTTCCAATATTTATTTATGGGTCCCTTGTTACATGAATTTTTTAAATTATTGAGTGTTCTTATATATAATACAAAATCGACCCTCATTGTACACAGATGTCGAATGATCTCTGATTGATACAAATTTTACCGTGTTGGGCGAATGAGTTAGATGATCGTTGTAGTTGTGGTGACTTGTATTCAACAACCCTTTCTAAAAAGTTATCCGACTCGAGCCTGAATTCTATCAAATGATATTCAACTATTCATATATTTCATTAATTAGTATAGAATAACTCGAAGAATGATTCACATACATATCACTTAATTAATTCCTATGTATTTACATATCTAACTCCTAAACTTTAACTTTCACATGTATGTGATCTTATCTATGAATGAAATAGTGCATTTCACTTTTTAAAAGTTATAATAGTGGTAATTTTGATGCCAACCAAATAAAAAATTTGGAGGGTAATAATATAAAAGTCAAAATTTAGGCATTAGATACGTTAATACATAAGAATTGAGGGGTATGTATGTAAATACCCAAAACAATGATAAAACATGATCGCACGAGTTAGTGGGATTTGAAGAAAAGAAAATTATTTGAGAATACTTATGATCTGTTTGGGGCAGTTGCAGCTTATTAATTAGCTACTGAAAAATAACATGCTGTAAAAAAAAAAAAACTGCAATGACTATTATAGATTTTTATTTTTTAAAAAAGTCAGACCGTAACTAGAAATCTGCAACGTCACCTAGCTAGAAACAATATAAAATTAATGATTTTAGCGGTTTGAAAACACAGTTTTTAGAAAAAAAATAGCCTAAACAAAGTGGGCCTGGGTGGGTTTTTAAAACGCACCAAATACCCTGCCCCAAATGGGCCTTGAATTAAATTCTAAATAAATTTTGGTTACATCTTGCGACCATTATCTAATGCCCTCAAAGTCTTCACAGCCTGTTGAAATTGACCTTAACTTCACCTCTACGCATATAATGGTAGCCTCTGCGTGCGGCATGTTCGCATTATTTTCCTTGGCAGTTTCTGTTAGATAAATCCGAAGTCAACTTAGATCCATTTTTTTCTTTGTGATTTGAACCATCTTGCTTAAAAGGCTCGAATTGATTTCATGAAATTTTTTCGAGCCACTTAGCTTACTCAATTTGATTTGAAGTTAAGGTTTTATTGTCACGGACAAAGAGTCCCACATCTGCTTGGTGTAGGATCTGAAAGCAGTATTTAAGTCCTGGGCTGTCTACCACCATGAAGAGCTCTTTTGAGAGGTAACATTATGCTGTAATAGATTTAAGAGAGAATTTAAGTAACATGTAACTTAAATCCTGCTAGACATTCATTTTGGACATCTTAAATCTCGGATTTACTAAATCCTGATTTCACTATTTTTCATATAGATCACATATTTAGTAAATCTAGATGTTTGATGGATCTACTATGTTCGAGAACACGAGGAGAATTTTTGATACCTCGTACGGCCATTCACAATGGTTTCGAGTAAGAGCAAAGCGGAAGAAAGAGACAGATGTGAGCTTCGGTAGTGCAGAGATCCGGTCATAGTCGTCCTATCTAACTTTAGTCACAACTATGTCGTGAGGTTGCCTAATGATGAGAGGGAAAAAAGAATGATTTTGGGTAGAAGGAGAGCAAGATGGGTGTTTCAGTTGTTTTGTACGTCACGATCTCATTATGGCCTTCCAAGTTAATTATGTAACCACTTCATTTAGTAAAATTTAAATTTAATTGTTGAGTAATTAAAAATAAAAATTGAATTGCACAATAAATTTTAATTGATTTAATAAATTTCCAAGTAATTATTAATTAGTATAAAAAATAATTAAATTAGCTATTAATTAATTAATGTTAAGCTATTGTTTATAAAAAAAAAATATTTTAATATAAAATTATCTTAATGATCAAATAGTTTAATGAATAATTACTTAATTAGCATAGTTATGAATAAAAAAGTATATTAAATTTATTCACACATAATAATTATATCATTAATTTGTAATATTAAGTTTCTATTTCAAACAATATATTTAAATTGAAACTTAATCACATTAACATTGTCAATAACATGACATAATGAGTAATTATCTAAAAATTTTTTTCTTAATAAACTAATTAATCAAAATTTCCACCAAATGATTTTCCCTAATTAAGTACTTAATCACCAATTAATTATTAAACATCAAAGGATTATTATACATTTAAGACTTAAAATTTATTAAATTCATTGCTAAACAAATTTTAAAATTTAATTATTTTTGAATTTATTAAATTCAAATTTATAAAATTTGATAAATTTTAATAAATAAATCTTAAAAATTACCAAAATACCCCTCTCTTAAATTTTTATATAATTTTAATATATCAATTGAATATTTACATTCCCACCCCTACAAGTATTTAAACCTCACTAACTTTTAACCTTCTCTTCCTTGTTCTTCAGTCTGTTGAAGCTTTTTTGTTCCATCTTGAATGGCGATTATGAGAAGCTTTCTTCTTATCATTCTATCGTCTTCCTTAGGTTCTGCAATTTCCTGTTCCAATGGAGGCTGCAAGGTCGCATTCCTTTTGTTTCCTGTTATAAGATTCAGATACTGAAGGAATGAGGTTTTGCTTGTTTATATTACTGACTGGTTTGAAATGGGGTTTGATTAGCGTAGCTTCTCGATCCCTGCGCATCAGATAGCGATTGCGAGGATGGTACCTATTGCTTCTCTTGTATCGATGGGTCATTTGGTTCGAGATGTGTTCGGTCTACGAGTACTGATCAGTTTAAGTTAGTGGTAATTCATTTCTACCTTCTTTAGTAACGTCTGATCGCAGTAGTTTGATAAGTTGCATTTGCATCACTGAATTAAGTCTTATGAGTGAATCGGCTTATAGAACAGAGTTCTTTTCTATTTCTGCTAAAATTTTAGCTATCGTGGTTTTTTTTTTTTCAGATTGTGAATCTCTTGTTGGTATCTAATATTCGGCTTAATGTTGCGTTGGGGGAACATAATTTTGCTGCTATATTTGATGATTGTTCACCTTTTTAATCTCCGACCATGAAAATGCTTGATTTTCGGAATGAAAATGTTTGGTTGTATTACATACTCTTAATTTTTTTTTTAATAGAAAGTCAATTTTTTGCTGATCAAAACTTACTTCCGAAGTGACAGATTGCTGATATATTTACCTAATAACTGATTAATTGTTTGATTGTATTACACATTTTTTATTTTTGATCTCTTAGATCTATGCATTTTCGGAATGAAAATGTTTGATTGTATTACATACTCTTAATTTTTTTTTAATAGAAAGTCAATTTTTTGCTGATCAAAACTTACTTCCGAAGTGACAGATTGCTGATATATTTACCTAATAACTGATTAATATATTCATAGGTTGGCGACTTGGAGTTAGGATGCCGACTTTTGCTCAGTAGGCATTTAATAGTATTTCTTTTCGTCTAACTTTTGTTTAAAAGCTTTACCCAATTAAAATAATAAAAATAGCATGCAATATCTACAAATTGCGAAAGAATGTATTTGCTGTTTGGTCAACTTAAGAAATCTGCTGGGTCTGAGATTTAGCTTGTTGTTCAGACAAACTTTTGAGTCCACGTTAGGGAACTAAAGTTGAAGTGGTTTCTGAAATGGTTTGTTTTTTTTTTCCCTAATGGACAGAATTTAAGATCTTTAGGTGGAGAAGAAATCAAATGTTTCATCTTTTTTAAATTTTCTCGAGTCTCAATCATTTCTGAGTATGAAGGTGGCGTAGGCTTGATTTTATGATGTTTTGTTTTTGATCTGATTAGAAGAGTAGAGGTTTTATATTCGACTTATGTTAAGAAAGGCGGAGGTAGACCTAGGATGACTTGGGCATACTGTATAAAAAATGATCTTAATTTATTAGAATTAAATGAAAATATGACACTAAATAGGATGCAATGGAGAAAAAGGATTCGTGTAGCCGACTCCACTTAGTGGGATAAAGGGTTTCGTTGTTGTTGTTGTTGTATACTAAAATGGTTTGCGAACTATTTTTCTTATGGTTGTTGTTGTTGTTGAATACTAAAATGGTTTGCGAACTATTTTTCTTATGGTCCACTATTAAGGCCATCATATTGAGAAGAAATCATAACTCCCTTCTATCTCCTATATCATCTTAACTTTTCTTGGAATGAAATTGGTATAGGGTTGATTTTGAGATGCTTTGTTTTTCATTTAAAATCATATAGTTTGTGTAAATGTTCATTATCATTAACCTTAATTGAATAGTTTGGGATTTTTTTCATGATCGAATTATTGTATATTCATCCTTGTTGAGCATTACATAAGTTTTTAACACTATATTTTGTACATCTTTATACACCACTAAATTATAGTTTCATAACCCACTTCACGTCTAATTATTTCACAAAAAATATACTTATGTACCGGGCTTACTGGCGCATCTTCTATCTTCTATAATATATATTGAAATTATCCTAAACATCTATTTTTTACTAATTCCTTATTATTTGCTATTTTTTTCGCATCTCAAATACATACATACATACATATATATATATATATCTCATTTTTGCCACAATTATCTGACTATTAGTGATTTTTGATTGCCCACCACTGAGATTCTTATAGCATATAAAATCATTGCATGCACTAAACAATAATTCTCTAGTTTCATTTTATTCCTAGCTTTTATAACTTCATTAATATTTCTAAATTTTAAAATAGACTCAAAGCACTAAAATATATCAAATTTCAAATGACATTCCAACAACATTGATTGATCATTATTGTGCAGATCACAAAAACTGTTAATGTAATGTACAAACCACAAGGTGCTTCAAAGATATTGAACTTATTTAATTAGAGATAAAATAAGCTTATAATGAGTTAGAGAGTGCATCACGTAATCTGAACAGAATGTTGTATCTATGGGCAATATAATCATTCATTTTGGATATCTGATGGCCATTAAATTGGTTGGATTAGCTTGATCAAAGTTGTGTGTTTTTGGGAGTTGCACATAAGAAAGGGCTTAATCTCCTAATATCTTTTGTCTCGAGTACCTTTATAAATTTCTAAAGGTCTTATCTGTAATCTTAGTCTGGTCTTCAGATTGACGAATGATAGATCAAAATTTCAATTTTTTTTTCCAATCCTCTCTTCATGAAGTTAGGGGTTTAGTGACTTTTTGTGTTACTCTTTCGTTAGACCCTTTTGAAATGTTATTTGATCACAGTATTTTCAAGAGTTTAAGAAGATGCATCTATCACATTTACATTAAACACAATCTATTTGTCAAAGCAAAACTTAAATTATAGAGGATGTATGCCAATGATGTACTATTTAAAGTAATTAAAGATGCTATGGACGAAGGAATTTTTGAATTATGTTATTCTTGTTATTTTCTTGTAATGGATATCAATATATGGTACACTGTAGTAAAATAAGATTGAATGATATAATATTGAATGTGTTGGGCATTTTCCTAGGTAAGACTTGGTGGTCTCTCCTAGATGAAGAATACATTACTCTTTCTTTCAAAGTTTAGATTATTTTCTCCTTGGTTCAAAATGGTATATCTTCACTCTCCACCTTCCTACTTCCCAATGGCTAGAATTAGCTTCCAACTATTATTCTACCATGGCCAAGAATCATTTTTTGGCCTGTCTACCGCCTTCTATCTCTTATGAAAAAGTCTTAGTTATCAAATATATATTAATTAAAAATAGCATAAACTATAACTTATATTGAATGTCATTATAAGGCTTTCCAAAACCAATACAAAATGGTTCATATATAATTCTACCTTGCTTGAAAGCTCTATATTCAATTTGCAACGTATTCTAATTTTAGTTATCATCACATATTTAACCTGACCTACGTTGTTGTGAGTTATTTTATAGCCATTTATTTATTTAAGGTTTGGAGACTGGAGGGTAAGAACGGTTTGTTTCAGCTTAACTTTTGTACTATATATAGAAATTATGCTACAAAGTTAATCAGAAAATCTAGTAGTATTGATTTTGCTCTGAAATGAAGGCCTTGTACACATACTGCTGCACCTATCCAAGCAACAGGATAGCTGTTTTATGTGCTTTTTATTCACCGTAGATATATTTATACTAGGATAATGCAAACATACATTAGATATAACCTTTTTTTTTTGGCCTCGTCTTCTAGCATATTGCTGGCAAATATGTTGTTTTTTTTTTTTTGCAGAATAATTCGTTGCCTTTCAATAAATATGCTTATCTAACTACCCACAACTCTTATGCAATTGTTGGAGAACCAAGTCACACAGGAGTTCCAAGAATCACCTTTACTAACCAAGAGGATAGTGTTACTCAACAGCTAAATGTACCTGCTCTTGGTTCATTCTACACTTTAATTGAGACAGTTTAAGTTTAGATGGTGAAGAGATGCTTCTTCTGATTCAATTTACTTGCACCTATTGTCTCACAGAATGGTGTTCGAGCTCTTATGTTGGATACATACGACTTCCAAGATGATGTTTGGTTATGCCATTCAACAGGTGGAAAATGTTATGATGTTACTGCATTTGTAAGTAAATGTTGTACTCATATTTCTCATAAATTTTTTATAAATACAAGATTCACTGCATAAATAGCTATAGTACTTATTAGGTACATAATTTTAGGTTTTTTTCCTTTCGGTATATTCTATTTTTATTATTTTATATTTTTAGATTTAGCTATTATTGATAATTTCTAATTCTTTTTTCTAGCATGACAATATTATGGCTTTTCTATTGTGGTTCCCTACTATTAATCATGTAATCAAGTATTAAAAAATTGAAGAGTAAAAATTATTTTCCTTCCCAAATTATATGGTATCAGAGCCAGGTTCTCCTTTGAATGGCGATCTAATCCTTCCAGATTGTCAGATGTTGCATCGCCCATGCCTGAGCCCGATCCCTCACCATACAGTCACAATTAGAGTTCACTGGGAAGGTAACGACTGATTGCCCTAGCGATACAGTTGTGATTAGAGTCATTGAAAAGTCAACGGATGATTGCGACGTTCATCGCTCATGATGGAGGGTAACCGCAAGATCATGGTATTTAGAGACTTATGTCTTTTGACATTGTCGACGTATCACGAAGATCGAAATCACAAGCATCTCTGTGTTACGAAGGAGGATTGAAATTGAGACTATCGTCAGCCTACAAGGCGCAAATTTTGGTTGAAGTTCTAAAATAAATGCCAAAGAAGATAAAATGAGCATCCCTGTCCCATCCCTTTTCCTTATCGAGGGGTCTAGATTATCGAGGGGTCTGGATCAGTTTAGTCGAGGGTTCTGATTGACTGTGTCCCATTGCAACATCTTCACTGTTTAGCTGTCAAAGATTCGGGTCGACTTTTTTACGAGTCTAAAAATGCAATCAAAATTGCCATTGAAATTACCTAAAGTTTTCTGCTAGAACCAAACCCGGGTTAATCTTTTAGGAGCATCCGTTGCTTGTGCACTACTATTTATTTTTCATTGCGATGGAACTCACAATCGACATAGCTATTTTTGGGCTCTCCTTTGCATTAGGCTGATTAAACCTAGCTTTTTTTGCTACATTCAAACTCAAGGTTGTAGTCACTACTTGCACGGTTTCTCATGATGCCGTACAAGCCGGCGATGATTGACATCCAAATAATGTCTATCTTTTCTACTAGTTCTAGTAATTCAAAGACCAATTCAACCTACCCATAGTGGCGCGAGTATTGCAAAAATCATGACATATGAAAGAGATATGTTGGAAGCTTATGAAAGGGATATGTTGGAAGCTTCATAAGAAACCCACAAATTAAACCAAAATCTAAATGTGAAGGTTGGGCATCAAGCCACTGCTGATGAAACTCAAGTGACTTCTACCAACTCAAATGAAATACCTTTCATCGAGGTGCAATTAGAGTACCTGCATAAACTGTTTCGATCTCCAAAATGGTCACTCATTCCATCTTGATCTTTAGTACAGAAGTGTAACTCTAGTCACTGCATTGTTAGGTGTTAACCCTAATTTTGTTCATTATTTGATAATTGATTATGCTGTAACTGATCATATGAATGATTGTTTTAAGTTATTATCATCTTATAGACCTTGTGCAAGCTACGAAAGAGTCAAAATTGTCGATGATTCCCTCTTGGTAATTGTCGGGATGGGAATTTTCAAACTCACATCATTGTTAACCCTTTGTTATGTGCACCATGTTCCCAGTTTGTCTTATAATCTATGTTTATTGGCAAAATTGCTTATGATTATCAATGTCAAGTTAAATTCAACTCTTTTTATTGTGAATTTTTGGAGTTGACCACATGGAGGATGATTGACAGCGTTAAGGAAATGGATGGATTCTATTATTTTGACGATGAGCTTGATGTGAATTGACAATGTCAAAGTACTTGTTTAAATTTTATTTTTATTTCCAAAGATAATGATGCTATGATATTATAGGTTAGATCATCCTAATTTCCAGTATTTAAAATTCATGTTTTTTAGTTTATTTCAAACTAAGTCTCTTTTCAATGTGAGGTCTGTTTGTTTGACAAACATCACCGTGTGTTTTTCCTCACCAAATTTACAAACCAATTATGTCTTTTACTCTAATTCATATTGATATATGGGGCCATTGTAAATACTTTACACTTTGAAAAAAAAAAAGAATTGTTATCTTTATTGATGATCATACAAGTTTAAGTTGGATAGATTTAATAAAAGAAAATTTTGAAGTGAATTTTTTTTTAAACTTTTACACCATGGTACAAACACATTTTTAAAAAGTTATTCAAATACTACAAAGTGATAATGACCGAGAGTATTTCAAAAATATTTTGAGTTTAATTTTTTTTTAATTGAATAAACAGGTTATCAAAGTTCTTGTGTTGATCCCCCACAACAAAATGATATGGCTGAAAGAAAAAAGCAAACACTTGTTGGAAGTGGCTCAAGCAGTTCTATTTACGAATCAAGTGTTAAAATAACTTGGGGTGAAGCTGTTTTTATTGCTAGATTTCTAATTAATAGAACACCCAATAACATTTTGAACTTTGAAATAACTTTTGATGCCTTTCATATAATTTGCAATAAATCAGCTTTGTTTTCTTTACCTTTGAGGATATTTTGGTGTTCTGTACTTGTTCACATTCATAGTTATTATTAAGGAAAACTTGAACCCCTAGTTATAAAATGTGTGTTTGTTGGTTATACTCCCACCCAAAGAGGTATAAATTTTGATCATTTTCTAAGAAAATGTTTGTTTCTGTGGATTCCACCTCTTTTGAATTGCAACTCTTTTTTTTTGCCTCATCTCCAATGGGGAAAGGGACAAAACAAAGATTTAACTACTGCTTTTCGGAACTTTTTCTAAAATCGTAAACTAACAAAATAATATCTCCCAAATCTTAATTGTTCAATTTGAAAATTTAAGCTATATTATATTAGAAGAAAGTGGGTCAAAGTTTTTAGATATTGAAGACCATTCAAATTTTTCTGCAGTGCCATCTTATGATATTCATACTCCTATAAAATTAACAAAGAGGAAATAAATGAAAGAACCACGATATTGATACCATTTGATATTGTCTACTCTTGACAAAAGAAAACTCAAAAGAAAGAGCCTACATATCCTTTGCATTGCCCAGAATCCATTAATCTTTCTAGTAATGTCCTCATCGAGCCTTTAGCCATGATCAATTCACTTTATCTCCAAGTCCTGAGTCTTCTGGTCCCGAACTTAAGTCTAGCCTTAATCCTAAATCTAATGATTTCAGTCATCTCATTGTTGTTCGTAATGGGATGGGATTGCCTGTATGGGAGTGAGGTCTTGCATTCAATATCCATTGTCTCATTCTGTGTCATATGAAAATTTCTCATCTATTTTTTGGGCGTTTACCACACATTTATCTTGTATGGTGATTCCTAATACTGTGCAGAATGCTATGAAAGTTCCTAGGTGAAGGAGGCAGTCTTCAAAGAGACGCAAACTCTAGAAAAAAAATACCGTATTGGAATTGATTGATATACCTAGAGGGAATTAAACTGTTGGATGTAAATAGCTATTTACAGGAAAGTATAATTTTGATGACTCTCAAGAAAGGCACAAGGGTTGATTGGTTGCTAAGTGATTCATTCAGACCTATGACATTGATTACTTAGAGACATTCATCTCGGTCGTAAAATTAAACTCTATAGGAGTTCTTCTATCACTTGCAACTAATCTTGACTAGCACTTACAAGATATAAAAAATATATTTCTAAATGGAGACTTAGAGGAAAAAGTGTGCATGAATGTACCTTTAAGATTTCGTGAAAAGTTCGACAAAAAAGTGTATAAACTAAAAAAATTCTTATACTGGTTGAAGCAGTCACCGAGAGAGTGGTTTGAGAAGTTTACTCTATTTGTTAATGTTCAATGGTATACTCAAGGATTAGGAGATCATACATTATTCTTCAAATATTCAAAGCATGGGATGATGACCATATCGATCATGTATGTAGACGTTATAATTCTCATCATAGATGATGTAGATGAGATGAACTGGTTAAAGACTTCCCTCTTATCAGTTTTTGAGACCAAGGACTTATGATCTTTGAAGTATTTCTATGGCATCGAGGTTGCTAGATCGAAGAAAAGGATTGTTGTTTTCCAACAAAAGTATGTTCTTGTTCTCATAAATGAAACTGGTATGAGTGGTTTTAGGCCTTAAGACATTCCAATTGATCTCTCTCAGAAGCTAGGAGATGAGAATGAAGATAACCACGTGAATACAATTCACTATCAAATAAAGGTGATAAAATTGATATACTTATCACTTACACGGTTATATATCGCTTTTGTTATAAGTTTGGCATGTCAATTTATGCATACGCCATTTGCGAAACCCCTTGAAGCAGTTAATAGGGTTCTCAAATTCTTTAAAAGTGCTAGGTAAGAGTTTGCTCTTTCAGAAAACTACACAACATACTATAGAGGCTTACACTATGGTTGGACAGACTCAGTTGTTGACAAGAGATCAATGTTCGAATATTTCACATATGTCTCGGGAAATCTGGTTACATGGTAAAGTAAGAATAAAAAATGTGATGGCAAGCATTAGTGCCGAGACATAATATCGAGCTATGACTAATAGAGTATGTGAGATGCTATGATTGAAGAGAATTTTTGAAGGAGCTATAGATTCTAATAAACATGCCAATGAAGTTGTACTGTAACAATACAGCTGCTATAAGCATTGCAGAAATTTCAATGCGACATAAGCGTACAAAATATGTGAAGATTGATAGACACTTAAAAGAGAAGGTTGATTTTGGAGTTATGTGGCCTTACACTCTGACAGCGCAACGAATAACAAATATCTTCATCAAAGAACTTTTTAGGCCTAATTTTGAGTTCCTTATATGCAAGCTGGACATGATAGATATCTATGCTCCAACTTGAGAGGGGGTGTCAAAAATTTATATTTTTCAGTTTTGGTATCTTCAATTTTAATTATTTTTTATTTCTAGAATTAGCTATTATTTGTAATTTCTATTTCTTTTTTCTAGCAAGAGGATTTTGCGCCTTTCCTAATATGGTAGCCTTCCCCTACTTTTTATTTTGTAACAAGTCTTAAAAAGTTGAATAGAAATAATTATTTTTCCCTCCCAAAAATTACATTTAACTTTTAAATATATCAGTGGGCATCTTATACGGACAAAGTAAAAAAAAACAAAAAACAGGAACTTGTGCATATTTATTTGGCTCTTAGAGATGGTTATATTTAAGGCAGAAATTAATGATCTGCATGCCTAATTAGTGCTTAAGTATGCATAATAAGAATACTCGCTGGAGCAGATTTCAAGCTGTGACTGAAAAATAGCTTGTGATGATTGAATATATTGTTTTTTTTTTCTCGGATATCACGCATGTCATGCAGGTTATTATCATTTAGCTCAAAATGCATTTGAATCTGTAAATTGCATTAAAAAAATGTAAAACATAAAATGCATTAAAAATGTAGAATTGAAGAATACGTTTTGTTTAGTTGTTTAAACTTCACCTTTTGTGCATGTTAAAATTTCTATCATCAATCTAAATTTTAATAGCCTTGAGGCATGTTTTTGCATTGAAAATTTATTCAATATAGCATGCAGGATTATATTTTCTTTTATTTCTTGTTACTAACCAACAACCAAATTTAGGAACCAGCCATTGATACTCTCACGGAAATTGAAGCATTTCTGTCTGCAAATCCATCAGAGATTGTCACAATAATCTTAGAAGATTATGTTCATGCTCCAAATGGATTGAATAATGTCTTCAATAGATCGGGTTTATTAAAGTTTTGGTTCCCATTGTCAAGAATGCCCAAAAATGGCCAGGATTGGCCTTTGGTAAGTGACATGGTTGCTGACAACCAACGTCTTCTTGTCTTTACATCAATTAAATCTAAGCAGGACACAGAAGGGATTGCTTACCAGTGGAACTTCATGGTTGAAAACCAGTGTAAGCATCATATCTTTCTCTTATCAATATCTACATATTCCATATGTTTAACATTATAATAAGTTTTCTTATTCAAGGTTTTGTACCAATTTTATGCTTATTTTGTCTACTTTAAAACAATTTGTGTCTAGGCACATATTTGGTGGACCCCTACCATTTTATTTGAGACCAAACTGCAATTGAATGGGCAAAGAGATCTGAAATACAAAAGCAACAAAGCAGTGCTCAAACTTGTATCACATTGGTTGGAAACAAAGTGAAAAATCATAAGGGGCTAGGTTTGAGCTCTCATGATGCCTGAATAAAAGAGAAAAAAAGCGACAAAACAACAAAACTCGATAAAATTAAAATGTAAGTGCATTGGCACTTGAATATATTCAAAAAGAAAGGTTGATAATAGTGAAACCATGTAAATAGTCCCATAGGTTTAACAGAGTAAAAAAAATCTTGAATATTAACTACTTTCAATAATAATAATAATAATAAAAGAAACAATTTGCTGTTAGATAATCATCATGTAATATGGATGTTGATGCAGGAATTCTTAGGTTTTAAAGTTCACTGATACGAACCTAGGATGAGATATAAAAAAGTATATTATATTTTAAATGGATCAGCATGTAAAATTTGTTGCTCTATATTGTTAGAGCACCTAATGAATTGTTGTGCCTTGTTGAACAATGTTTCCATTTTTTTAGCAAATCTTAAAATCATGCCATAATGCTATGGGATTTGGTTGCAGTGATTTTCCATTCACTCCATTCCTCGTTGCAAACACAGAGGCTGCAGTACGTGGTTGACGCCCATAGTCTGAATGATTCACTACTTTTTGAATAGCCAAAATATATGAATTAGTCTTAGTAGCGTGAGAGTAAGGCTTTCAATTATTGTGATTGGTGAATAAAGATGTGTTGAAGACAAAGGTGAGTGAGAAAATATTATTTGGGGTTTAGTCCAAGAAAAGAGGGTTGGTCATGAGCTTAGGGGCTTTTCCACGTAAATTCTCCTGTGTTTTTCTAATTAGTTTAATTGTGCTTCTGTTTTATTTTTTATTTTTTTGTTTTTATCAAATTTGTACGATCCCGTTATTTCGCGGTGTGTTTTAGTTTCTAATTGATCCCAAGTCCCGGGGAACTGTTCGTTGTGAGATTTCCTAACACAAACAATGAACAATCTCTCATATGCGTGATGCTTTGAACATAAAGATGGAGATGATGGAATGAAAGCTGGTAATTGCTCAAACCGTGGCGAATCGTCTCCTCTTACTGACTCAACCAAATCTCTTGTTTTGGTGAATTATTTTCCCTCCATACCGATTGAGGCAACAGCATGTAGACATAATTCTGCAGAACTTATTAATATGCTTCAAACTTGCCATTCAGCAGCAAGCAATCGGTGGGCAAACTTCGTTGCTGTTGATTTCTACAAGGTTTGCATACAAACCACATATGATCATATGATCATTCACATTGTTAAGATCTGAAGAGTTTTCTTCTATGAACACTCATTCTCTTATTTTAAGCTCGCTGCCTGCAGAGGAGTGAGGGAGGAGGGGCCTTCCAAGCAACTGACATGCTTAATGGGAGGCTTATATGTGGATGTGATGATGTTCATGCTTGTGCTGTAAGCTATTTGAGAAACTTTAATCAGTTTATGCCTTTTCTTTTTCAATAAACCAAATATAGCCAAAAATCATTTTTTAACCAAGTACATGAGCTTAATGGGTAATATAAATTGAATGACATTTTAGAATCATATTTTAACATTCGGCTTATTTCGCTTCATTATCTTATAATATTAGAAAATTTTATTTTTTTGCAATAATAATTGCTTGAAAGGGTAAAGACTTCTCATTCTTCCATTCTCTTTCAGCTAGAGCAGTACTATCATTTCTAAGATCATTTTTTTAATTGCAGGTTTAAGTAACACTTTTTTTTTTCCCATCACGAGCATCTACACATCTAGGATTGGACTTAATTTTGACAGAGCATGATGTATTTATTGTTCTCAAGGACACGAGTTCGTCCTTTCTCAATTTTAATTATAGGTGCAACTAAGAATATGAAAAATGCTACAATTCTGAATAAATTTACATGTAAGTTGATTTCATGTCTGCTGGTTATGTGGGCAACTGATGTGACTCCTTTCAAAAGCAACTCATTAATGTTGACATTTTTATTATGGCTCCACTTCTGCATACTGCATATCCTGGAATAAAGCACTTTATACAAATCCATGATACTTTGTTCATGGTGAAATTCCTTAAAATATTGCAAGTGCATTAAACTAGAATGTAAAAAGTATAGAAGAGATGCTACTAGTCATTTACATGATGAATCTATCAAGTCTGGTAAAAGAAAAAAAAAGCATGGAAACCTTTACATCTTTGATAAAAAAAATTATCTTACAGAGCTAAAAACGCATAGCAATGGGCTATCTTGTTGTTCTCTGGAAATGTGCTGAAATGACACCTGCCTAAACTATGTTAGGAATGCAAACTCTGTGCTATCCTGAGGGCTTATTCTCCAATCTTTGCCCTGCATGATTTACCTGAGGGAATATGTGGGTGAAATACCATATAGTAGGATAAAATCTTTATTACATGAGTGAAATTGGGAGTACGTATATAGTTTCTCCATAGAAAGTGACCCGCTAAGAAACACCGGACGTCAATTTTTTTGGAAAAAAATAGGCTAAATATTTATAGTAAGAAATTCTATCAGCCTTTAAGTGGTTGTGTCAGACTCTACCCTCTCAAGGATAAACTGCGATGTGATAGTGATGAATGATTCGGTCAGATTAAATACCACTTGGTTTTATTTGCAAGATCATGACCCAGTGGATAATGAACTAGTATAACTTAATCGCCACAATTGTACTTAATACATATCATTTTATAATTCATTCACATTCACATATTACTCAGAAGCGTAAAACATTATATTATCAAAACATATATGTATACAAAATTGCTAAATCAAACATATTAAAAGTATGCACCCAAAAGTTCTTACAAGCTCCTAGAAATATAAAATGCAACAGCTGTACATATCACACCTAAGTATTAGCCCTGACACTCTTTACTCTTCTTGAAAGTCAACAACGTAGAGTGAACTACGATAAATTCAAAGAAATAATCAAGACTAAAATAAGATTTTATAAATAAAAAAATTTCGTTCACGCTCATATGAAACTACACAACACATGTCACAATATGCTATAATCGCATAAAACATATAAAAGAAAAGATATGTACTACAGAGAATCATGAATGTTGTATAAAATATATATTTCATTCATTCATATCTAAGCATAAGCATATTCATAAAAGTTGTCAATCTAATCATATGAATGTCGCTTGTAATTATATAGGTTTCAACTATTCTATGTCCTATCATATTGTGGGTCATCACCTAGCCGGAAGGCTACATTAACTATTGATAAAGACTGAGCCCCTCTCTCCCCGGCATAATAGTTATCAATAACTCCTCTGGTATTAACTATTCTCATGTTTTGTCCCCGTCTAATTCCAACGGTTTCTCGAAGTTTCGTCTTTGTTTGAATGCTAGGAGTAGAAATTTCATCATTCCCTATCATCCGTACTTGCAAGTATTTATATAATAACCTACTTATAATATCCCTTGTGATATTTCTTAAATCATAATCCTATAACAAACATTTATCATAAACATTTCATATATCATATATACATGTTTCATAGTAAATGAATACATGCAAGCAATAATTTAATAATTTCATTAGCATGTTTATCAAAATCATTACATAGTAAACTTATAAGTATCGTAATTGAAAAATCAAGTTTGCGTTCATATTGTCTATCTAGGTATTCATCCACAATATGTAAAAAGTTCTAGATGCAATAACATCAAATACATAATCACATGGAAACCTATAGAGAGTTATTTTTCTTAAGTTAGCTATAATTATTTCACCGGAATTGAGAGAGTAGCCTTACGACGAGTTTCCCACGCACACCTCAAGCTCGCCACCTGATGTAGACAACCTAGAATTCGTAATCCTTAAACATTCATGAAATTTGTAATTGAGATCTTAATTTATCCCACACATAAAGATGTGTGTCAATATTTACCTTGAATGGGTTCATCTGCATGAATTCTCCATAAAAATTACTCTCTTCCTCTCCCCTAACATTCCCTCCTTCCCTTTGTTGATTTCCTGTTGATGGCCCATAAAAAAAGCTCACAAACTAAGTTCGTAGTCTTCGACATAAATTTGTCTCCCGCTACAACGACTAAAAATGAAAATGTGCACCGATTCATGAAAAACATCAAAATGAAAAATATGAAAGGTAATGAATGACTGGAATATCATAAAAGAAGGTTCCCTACCTTTCAGATTTTTGCCTAGAGTTTACAACCGCGAGTTTCAGCACTCTGTGGTCTTCGATTGCACTCCTGCTACAGGGATCAAGTCGTAGAACCAAACGGACCCACAAAACCGAATGAGAGAGAGGGGAGAATGAGGGAAAAGTGAAAATTTAATGTGATCCCATTTAATCTTAGTCATTCGATCCATCCCACAGCTACATGTCATGGAAAGGAGTCAGTAGTTGTAGTTCGAGATTCAGAAGAATAATTAGATGATTAATTAGTTTAGTTAAGTCAAAATCTTATTATTTTTATATTCTCTCATTATATTAATAATTCATATATATATATATATATATATATAATTGATCAGTTCGATGTGTAGAGTTTAATAAAATTAATTTGGTCAAATTTTGAGAGATTCAAAATTTATGGTATGTTTTCCAAGTGCAAAAATTTTTCCCGTGTTACAAGCTGTTCGGGATCACTTTTATTCTATATTTTATATTTTATATTTTTATTTTGGTTGTTTATATTTTAATTTGAAACAAAAGATGTTTTATTTGTTTGATTAAGATGTGACTATTTTTTAAAACACTTAATAGATCTAAAAGTCGTTTTTGAGTACTTTCAAGGATATGTTTATATGTTTTTATAAATAAAAAATAAAAGAACATGTTAAAAGCACATTAAACATGCATATTAATATATATATATTGATCCCAAACAAGGCCTAAGAAATTAAAAAAAATCAAAAGTAAATGCCTTTATTGTTGTCGATTCTTTTCCTTTGTGCAGCCTGGATCCACCACCGCTGGAACATGTACTCCTCCATAAGAAAACGGTGAAGCAACTTCAGAGAATGGAAGAAGAGCATTTATGATTTCCAGGAAAGTGCATATAAATCATGTATTCTTATTTTCTTAAATGAATAGAAAGAAATTCACAACTTGTAAGGCCAGCTCATGAATATCCTATATCCCTCTATTATTCCAACACATGTCGACAGATATCTTCATCAATCTTAACGATTATTAAGTCATTTACATGAGCATATTTGTAAAGGAATATTAACACTTTTATCATTAAATTTACTTATTCCTTCTTATTTTTGTGAAGCTGAATAAGGAATTTTTTCTGTGGCCTGCATTCCTCTGGACAATAACAGAAAGGAAAGGACATAAAGATGAAAAGAACTTATTTAAAAATTAGCAAAAAAATCATCTGCTTTTCTTTATTTCAAATTGTAGCCTTTTGTTGTTTATAATTTCTGTTGGTCTTCTTTTGCCAAACTGTTAAGAGTTGATCGAACATGTGAAAATCTTCAGATGGAGATAAATGAGAACCATAAAAGAAAGCACAACCAAACGGACTTTCCATGGTTTCAAATTACACAACACTAAAGTAAGACCAAATACTCCTTTTCTTTTATGTACATAACAGGAAATAATGAAGATCTGTTCTTTCACAGGATCAAACTTTGACTTGTTGAGATTCGGGCTTGATTTATTTTATTATTATTATTGTTTTTTGCATGTGATTAGGTAGGCTTTCATGTGCCTTAATTATACATTGATGATGATAATTGACTTCACTGGCAGTGAGAATGGCATCTTAACTTAAAATATATCAATTATACAGGTATGACCATTATTGTTTCCTTGATGAAACTACATCAATTGGTTATTGAGTGAATTTTGGTCAATAAACATGTTTGTTGTTTCTTTGACTCTGCGCCTCATTGCTTATGCTAATTATATTAATTTAGCTTTTTTATCTATTGCAAATTCAATACTTATCCATTAATTTATATGATACACATTGAGAGAAAACCTCTCTAGAATATCCTTACTGTTATGATAATCAATATGCACTTAAGATATTGACTGTTAGAAAATTGTCATTCTTGATTGACTTGTGTTCGACAATTTAGGAAGTTCATATTCAATTCGTTCATTAAGTAAATGGGTGAATACAATGTGTATAGCCAAAGTTCCTAGATCGGGTTTCATTTTGTGATGTGAGCCAGGTAGTCGATCATGCAAGACAGCTCGACTAGAATGCCCATCCAGATGGCTCCTTCAGAGTGATTGATCAATGTCGTTGACCCGAACAATTCAACCTGACTAGGCATGATAGGCGAACTAAATGACAAGTACTCTAACTTGCCTTCGGGCCGAATAGGATGACAAAAGTGTTATCAATAGGATGACAAAAGTATTATTACTCGATCTGCTCCCTAACATATATTTTGATTTCTTTGAGCTCATTATCCTCTCTCTCTCTCTCTATCTCTAACATATATGTTTCTGTAGTTTTAACAATTAGTTAATAGAGATGTAAAATGAATTTATATTATGGCTATTTATTTCATTTTATTTCTTCAAAATGAAATGATGCTCAATTCAAATTTTAATGAGCCAAACATGAACACGTTGACAAGTATGAACCTGCCAAACTTCAAATGAGGGGAATAATAATAGCTTCATAATGCATGGATAATGAATCATAAAACATGCATCATAACTTGTGAATGGATTTTTATGAAATCGGATTCAGCTATTATTTTATTTGATCTGCTTGTCCAGGCCTACTGTAACAAGCCAAATAACAAATATATATATTTGTGCAATTATTGGACTTATTGATACTTAATTTCAATTGCATTATTTCCTATGGAAGATCATGTGGAACAGAATCTCAAGTCAAAACTTAAAATGATCCGAGTCTCCTACCATTATAATGCGCTATTTGGACGTAGCATGTCTGCCATATAGCTAGCCAACATAATTTATAGCGATCATCATCAAAATAATTTCCAGTAAATCCGATTGTTGTGTCGACTGTAAC